AGTTGTGGGGGCTGTGGGGGGAGTGAGATTCGCCTCAAATCCCAAGGCGCTCGATGAATCAGAAACTCTCCAACACATCGCGGCAAGTGGAGCTACTGGAGGCTCTCCTTCGGCTCCACCAATGACGGCTCCAAAAGTCACCATGGCTGGTACAAAACTCCATGAACTTATAGGGGAAGAGTATGGAAGAATGACAACATTGCTAAACACTCATACTATCATAAAATATAGTATATATATGAATATATATGATACATTGCTTATCATTATGAGCAGTGCTATATACATATAGTATATACAAGAGCAATTTTTTGAACATGGGGACTTCACAAAGCATGGCGAGGATGTACAGACCCCATTCCATGGATCATACGGGTGATTTTGATGGATTGACTCCCCATCTTTCCCACCACGAGGCCAATTCCGTGTTAGACATCACACTATCAACCCATGTTTGATGAGTGTGATCGATTCTGGGCTGTGCTTATTTTTGCTGGATATCATCACGATATCACTTGACTACCGGTCGAGGTTGTAGCCCCAACGACTTACCCAATGTATATATATATATAAGACATATATACATATGTATATATATATATACACATATTTTCACCGACCTTTGATGCAAGAACTGCACCCAATGTAGGTTGGGGCATGACCTGGAAATCCCCTTCGGCAGGAGTTCACTTCCGGTCGAAGGGATGATGAAATGTTGATGATTTATTTTGATTATCGCTGATTATCTGACGATATTTTGATTCTCCCAGTATTCTACCATAGTTACCCTCTGGTAAACAAACATAGCTATTGAACATGGCCATTTATAGTTGATTTACGCATGAAACATGGTGGATCTTTCCATAGTTTTTGGTATGTTTACCAGAGGGTATCGCTAGTTATCCCAACTCCCTGATATCCCCAGTTATCCTCCAAGAATTTCTCCAGTCTCCAAAAGGCAGCTCATCGATCCCACACCACCTTCCACTACCACGTGGAGGAGATAGCGAGATAGCTGGTGGCTGGACAATGTCCACTTTTCCCATGGGAAAACCATATGAAAAACAGATCTAACACCATACTGGAGCTGTCTGGGGGCGTGAATCATCCTGTTAAACTGTTACTTGACTTTCATCTTGTTGCGTTTGGACTTTCGCTAGGAGATTGGAGGATCACCACCTCCAAGGGCAAAGGTCCTAAGCGTGTCTCCAGGACGAGCTGTCGAATCTGGGGGACCAACATTGATGTTTTTGGTCATTCACTAGTTGAAATATAGGTGAGTCATTTATATATAGGATATCACTATAATATAACTAGGATAAGTTGTTTTTTTTAAATGTTTTTGGTTCTTGATAAGGATATCACTATAATATCACTATAATTATATCACTAGTTGATTGCAACAAAGTCTTGGAATCACGGTTTCGACATCTGTTCTGCCTCGTGGTTCCATGGTAGGTGGATTTGTCTCATAGGTTACCCCCAAATTTTAGAGTAACCACAATTTTCCATACTAAAATGACAATGCTGGGGGTATACCCCATTGCCAATTTTCAGGCAACCCCAAAATATCATATTGCTTGTTATAAGTCCATTATTTCTTGATTATATACTTGGGGTTACCAAAACATTTAGCCCAATTATATTTGTTATAACCAGTTATAACCAGTTATAACCCCATTCTTCCCAGATATTCCCAGTAAACGTTTGAAACAACAACTTCACCTTCCCAGTGCTACCGCTGTGGCCAGGAAGTCGCATGCTGATGGCTTGTGGTGCCATGTCTCCGCGCGAAGACCTGGTTGATGATTGATGCTGAGGACGAGGAAGGAGAAGAGGACAGGGCACGGTAAAGACGAACATGATTCAACATGATAGTATGCAGCTATCTGTGCTACCTGTGGGTCTACGCAGCTGATGTGCATACACACGTGCTGCGTACGCATGAAGCAATGATGAAGATCCGGATGATGAGACTGTCCGAGGCGGCCACCCACTGCGAGGTGACACGAGGTGTAGCCGATTCTTTGAGGGACTGATATGGGGATGGGTTGTTGACCTATGAAGCATATTTCTGGGAATCATCATCCAGCCAGCTATTTTGGGGTACACAAGGTGCTACTAGTAGGGTTTTCGTTGTGGGCACCTCAGAGTGTAAATTTCAAAGAATCGCTGGTCCGTCTAACCGTCTAAGCCTGAAGAACTTCACTTATACATGGCTGGTTTTGTTCTGTATCATGGCTGATGTTGCAGTTTTTTGCCATGTTTTTCTGGGCAAATTTCACCAGAATATGCCAGGTGAGATGATTCATTCGGCTCTGTGCCAGGAGGAGATGGATCTGGAGTTTCCAGGATATTCATATAGGACCTATATAGGACGCATGATGACGCTTTAAAGCACAACTCGTTTGTGAAGATGTTTTCTTTTTTTTAATCATAAGAATTGTAGATGTTTTCAATATGTTTTCTGTTTTTGTTCGATTTCCCGCAGAGTGATGATCCAACACTGCTCTGGGTGACATCACTTCTGGAATCGGCCATGAGTTCCCCATCTCTTGGTTGAATGGTTGTTGTGGCCCGCTAGGCGCTTCGCCAGAGGGCATCTAATATACCCCTATCTACCCTCTTGAAATCAAACATGGCAATGGAAAAACCAGCCATGTATAGTATTCATTTACATTTTCTCGTTTAAATGCCCATGTAAGGAGATTTCCCATTGCCATGTTTGACTACACGAGAGTATCAATTTGGACGGTCTATCTCAGATAGGAACGGGTTTGCAAGTGATTTTGCCACAGTTGGAGATTGAGATAACCTGTTGCAAATGATGGAGAGTGACTTACATGAGAGTGATCATTTGATCATATTTAAATTTAAATATCTTTAAGATAAATCCAACAGAACGATCTCATGAAAGGATCGCTTTCATGTGAGGTGTTGCAAGGACTTGGGCTATGCATGGCTATGCGCTTTTTTTTAGACGCATCTTATATGGAGTACTAACCCGTTTTAGATTCCCATCACGCTGTTGAAAAGTGGATGGATGGCATCGGATGAAGTGACAGTATGTGACAGTACTTCAACATAGATATTGCCAGAAACCTAAAAAAAGGACCTTTTGAAGATGAAAAAGGCCACATTTCTGAGTGAATCAACTCCTCTAAAGCTGTGAGATGCTGTGAGCATATTTTTTTCGGCGGGTTGAAGATCGACCCTGCCAAAGCCGCCGCGTGTGTCGCGAGTGTGGCCAAGGTGAAAAAAGGGACGCAGCCCAGTGGTTGGGGGTCGATTCCCAACTAGCTAGAAGCGATTTCCAACATCAACTGGACCCTGAGCAAATTGTGTTTTGGCATTGTGCAAGCCATTGGGCCATGACACCATGGAATGATGACATCGCTGGATGCATTTTGGCTCATGCCCAGCGCCAAATGCCGTGGCGTAGTTTTTGTTTTTTGTTCCTCAATGATCCAATCACTCAATGGATGAGAGAGCATACAGAAGCGCAAATCAAGAATATATAAACTATAAAGTCTTTATATATAATTATATAATTATATATATATATTTATGCATGTATGTATAATATAGTTATGTAATGATATATAGACACTCTATGCTACTTTTAGAAAACAAGATCTTCACTTGGAAGCACAGCCAATGGACTTGTGGTTTCCATTACTCCCTCAGCCAATGATACTGTCCAAATCGGGCACAAATTGCGTGATTGGATCGAGGCTGTTCTCGGGGTCACGTCAACCGGTCTCAACCGGTCCGGGTGCTTTGAGGCTGGGCACAGACATCATGTGGGGATGTTGGGAGCATGATCCCATCCAGGAGGGTTGCACGTGTCCTTCCATGTCTCCGGTTTAAATCTATGTTTTCATGCTTCAATTCTTGATTGTCGTGGGGTAGAAACCTTTTATTTGGCAGTTACAGCCCATACTATGTATATACATACATACACATACATTACTCTGCCGGCTAAATTTTCCCAGGTTTGCCCGAATTTTTGAGGTAGGCATCCCGCGTTTTGCTCGACATTGATCACCATTTTGGGACAGCCCTGTCATGTCGGAGAGGCAAACAACCGCCTCCACCCACGGCGGAGATGCAGGCTTGGCCCGGTGAACAGCATGAGAAGATGCTATCTTGATCTATCTTGGGGATATGGGTTTCGCTTAGGGGTGCTGTCTCAACATGCAATATATATAATATATATATATATACACATGCCCGCAAAATATGGCACTTTTTTAATTGAAGAATGATGTTTCAAGATGCTAAATGATTCGGGCTTTGGAGTGCCCCATTTGGAGACATACCCAGCTGGCGATTTTCCGACATTCATGATGACCAGCAAGAGTGATGATGACGATGACGACGACGACGACAATGACGACGAGTACGACGAGGATGCCATGATTTGCCTTTTGCTGTATGAAGAATTGCGATGAACTACCAACGATCAGAGCGCGAAGCAATGCGCAGCATATCAGACCCAACATGGCCGACCTGAATCCATAACACTACCTTCAGTTTCAAACACATTAAATGATCATTTGGGCCACAGACACATTGGACATGGCATCCAAGAATTTGGTACCGGAAGAAATTTACCATGCAGCGGGTCTATGTGCGGAGTATACCGTTTCACCGTTTCCCCAATGGGATCAACGGTCAAAGCACTGCCGCCGAGAAATTTGGTTCAAAACTGCAGTCACATCAGCTGAAGAGAATACTGTTATGGTGATGATGGGTGGTCAATAATGATCAATAAATGTTGAACCATTCCATATTTGGATCACATACCCAAGAATTATACCATCAGATGAAACCTGAGATTGGGTTGGGGACCTAAATGCTAGCAAATGGGGCCCGCAAACCTGAGAACCAAGTGAACATGTGTTGACCATGGCCAATGTGTTGTTTTCTTCAAGACTATTGACAACGCCGCATTCAAACGTGGCGCGTGAGCCTGGAGCCTTGGTGGCTCCAGCTCTATGGGAGATGAGATGCTGGTGGATTCGGAAGAGGGGCTGAAGGCATTGATTCACGATTGTCGGCCACAAGAGCAGTGCCTAGTCATGCGTATGTCATGCGTATGTCCAGTACCCTCTGGTAATTTAACATAGCTATTGGAAATGGCCATTTATAGTGAGTTTTCCTATTAAAAATGGTGATTTTCCATAGTTATGTTAGTTTACCAGAGGGTATGTCCAGAATTGTCCAGTGAAAGTTGGAGTTGGATGATGTTGGTTTCTTTTCGGCTTGGAATGATGTGTTTTTGCCCAACCATGGTACTATGGGATCATCCAAAATCTAACACCTTCATGTCCCCTAGAAATACCCCTAGGTGAGGTTGGTAACCTATGTGACGGCACCAGATTTCCAAGATTTTCAATCTGAACATGATGATAAACCATGATAAACCATGATAAACCATGATAAACCATGATAAACCATGATAAACCATGATAAACCATTTGGGGGGCACACGATTTTCAGTCACAGCGCAGTTCCATCCAGTTCCAACAGGTACATCGAACTGGGGGAGTTAAACTCACCAGCCATGTCTCCTTTCCAAAGGGTATCATTGCGAACAAACCTCATTAGGCCATGAAAAATAGATGATCAACTGCTGAATTCCCAGACATAAACCATGTATATATATATATATAATAATATATACATATATATATATGAGCCCGGTCCCCGGACCCCCACCCCCCCCTCCCCCCCCCAATGGTATCCCCCCCCCACTCCTAACCCCCCCACCCCCCAAAACCTAGTATTTGCATGTTATTTGCACATATACATACACATATACACATATATACTCCCCTTTCCACCCCTCCACCCTCGCATCTCTACGTTATTTGCAGCACTTGAGTCAGAGCCACGACCTCGTCAACGGACCTTGTCTACCTGTATATTTCTATCATAACCTTTTTTCGAACCGCCTATAGCGTGCCTCGCACATGGTTTACAACATATTTGCTACCTATGGATTACGCAAAGCTTACCTATGCAAACCTAGACATATGTACAGTAGAAAAACAATATATATATATATATGCACATTCTAGATACTACATATTGATATCTTGATCTTGTATCTATCACATATTTCGTTTACATTGTACATACTGTACACGTATATATATATACATATATATATACATAAACTCTAGATATGCAGCGCGTATTGCTGTCGATATTCAATATACCACATATACTATGTAAAATTTATTCAACGAACATATTTACCTATATTGTATATATTACATCTACTGTGGATACAGTACATGTGGCATATACTATCTATATTCTATCAAAATCCACATATTCGATATATATATATGTTCAATATATATATATATATATGTCAAATATATATATATATGTCAAATATATATATATATATGTCAAATATATATATATATTACACATATATATATTGCATATATTCTATTTATAAATCTTACATATTATATATATATATGTTTATATATATACACCACACATACACTCTATATTACATATAGTATATCCATTCTAATTATCGATACATATGCACTATATGCACTATATGCACTATAAAGACTACATACACCATGATTTCTATGTATACTCACCAGTGCTGCTCACGCAGTACCTTGGACATTGCTGGTACACTCCTTGCACTGAGCTATATATTTTGCGTATATCGGCTTAGCTGCTGAGAAAACCCCCCCTCCCCTGCCACAGGGGGGGGGGAACCATCTGGCTGGGGGAGGGGGGGGGGGTGAGGTAGCTATCCCTCTATTAGGGGAGCCCTGGATAATGTACAAACACCTGTGTCAAGCAGCGGCGACTACACTTCTTTTCTACGCAAGATTCTGCTAGTCTTGAGCCATGCGGAGTGCGCATGAAAGATATGAATTAAGAGTACATGTCAACATGCATGAATGCATTGTGAAGACACGTAAAACAAAATAAATCACAAACAGACACAAATTTTCTTCGTGTCGGAACATGCAAGTCTGTTTCACAGGTAGCGCTCAGCCTGTGATCTGCTGTGAGACGGTCCGAAGACAAAAACAAAACTGTACAAAAAGCTACTCTCCGCTGTTGGAAAGCGGTATTCTCTACTGGTGGAAAGCGACCGCAAATGCGGAACATTGCAATTTTTCTGGGGCTACAAGCCCATAGCGAAATAGTAACCGTAAAAACTCAACTCGTTTTGCCTACGGTGTTCACCTGTCTGATGAAAGAAAATAGACTGATCCGGTGTTTGTGGGATCATGTCGAGCCAAGATCCGTCGTATTTCTGGACCCAACGCTGTCTGGGTACCTGGTACCCTGGGACATATTCTACTTGAGTGGTGTTGGGATTTACTCTGTAGTGCGACGGCTGATCAAAGCTGTAACCGTAATTACGGTATCCGGAAGAGCTGGAAGCTGTTCCTTGGTCAAGCCATTGCGTACCCGACATTCGGGATGGAGGTGCAGGCGGTTCAGGTACGTTGATCGGCCTTTTCTGGTCGTTTGCCTCTGCTCAGCCTGTTGTGATCTCTCTCTCCACGGCGGTGGAGTCTTCGGCGGTCCCGGTGGATCAGGAGGCGTTCTTGGCTGCTGTGCACCTAGTGTTCGTCCGGGAGCCGGAAGTGGAGGAGCCTTTACAGGCGGTGTAGCACTAGAGGAAGATCCTGATGACGTCGGAGCTGGTGGTTCTTTCAAGGATCTCGGTGCAGCTTTATATTTCACAGGTTCAACTGGTCTGGCCTTTGCTGCTGGACCTCGCACAGGTGCCGGAGGCGGTGCTGGTGTTTCAGCTCTGGGTCGATATGTTCTGGTCCTGCTGACCGATCGACTTCGAGTGCGCCCAACATTTCTGTGAGAGTCAGTCCGCAGCGGCGGAACACTATCTCTCCTCTCTTCTCGTTTTTCGAGATATCCTTGAGTTCGCTGCATCCATTTTTCACGTCTTTTATCTTCAGATTCCTTGGATCGGATGCGCATATTTTTCAATGCCTTCAACTGGGCGTAAGCAAGGAGAGGTGAGTGCCATGCACAGTCCTTTTCTGCCAGACCAAGGTCATACGCCATCAAATGTTTTAGCTGTTCAACATCGTTCAGCATAACTTCATCGGAGAAGGCAGATCCTGCAAAACCATCGGCAGAGGCTGATTCTTCTTTTGCACGTGCTTCCGTGACAGCGATCTGCTTACCGTAACAAAGAGAAATTAAAAGCATTGAATCACAATCAGAATCATCTCCACGCATACTGCGGATGTAATTGGCTGCAGTGGTCGATGAAACTACGTTATACGTAATACGGTTTATCGGGCTGCGGTGAAGATTGATCTGCTGAAGGAAACGCTCCAAAATGTCGATTAAAATGCATGTCCGGTAGTCGGAATGATCGTCTGCCTTAAAGCTTCGCTGTGCGAAAAGATTCCCGTCACCGGACAAAAAGTCACACTGATGTTCGATACAGCTTGCGACAAATTGGAGCCATTTCTGGCACGTTTCTTTATAGGCATTACTCCATGCGTATGAGGAGATATGGAAAACCGCAATGCGGCATTCAGCTAACATGAGACGTCGGACGTCATGAGTGTCGGCTCCAAGATTCACTTCACAAGCTTCCACGCCGGAGACGGCAAGGTCGTCATCTCCGTCGATCTCACAGATCGAGTGATCAAGAAAATCGAGTGAGGATGCAAGTGGGCGATCGTGCTGGTACACCGTAGATTCGGCATTTTTCTCGATGTCCGGTTTCGGAACACGAGCGCCAGTGGAAGGATCAACAAATTCTCCTGACGTGTTCATGCCATGGCAAACACGAAAAATAGCACCATGCAAAATCCAAAAGGGTGCATCTTTGGTAGAGGTTTCAATTTGGTGATGACACAAAAGTTCAATAAAGGAGCCGGTATCATGTGAGCCACGGATAAAAATTGCAACGGACTGTGACTGGATGTGCGGATGCACTACCATTCCAATCATACCGTACTCATCGGCTAGTTCTCGATGGACGGCAATGCCACCGTACTCATCGGACGCCTCACACAGGCACACAATATGGGCCGCATTACGGAACACTAAATGTGGCAATGCACGGTGGTTAATGTCAGTTCGTACCCATTTTGGAAATTTGGCGCAACCTCCGATATACGGAAGACGGTTGATGTGACCAAGGTTCAAAGTCAAAATACCAAGCTGATACGTGTCCTTCTGAAACTCATGGATGTTCTCCTTAGTGCGCTTGGTAACACCGAGGATTGCTCTCTTACCAAGAAGGCACGATCTGAAGAGTTCCAATAAACGGAGAATCTCTTCTGACTTAAGGTCACCGCCATCAGGGTACTTGAAGAAAGCCTCAGGTCGCCAGATCGGAAGGGGCGTCTGGTCCTGGGCATCAACAAAGTGCTCCTGTAGAGTCGGAATTCGACATCCAAATGGCATTTCATAAATGTATTCGGTATAATCAAAATCTTCAATTCCATGACGAGCAAAAGATTGAAGGTAAGTGTTTCCAATTGAGCGGCCCTCACGCAGATGCGTGATCAGTTCCGAGAATTTGTCTTGGCGATTTTGAGCATGCTCTCGACGTGTTGCGCCGAAATACGACGACTCAGCCAGTACGGCATCAACCAGTTCTTCGATGTCGAAAGGTGAGTTGGATGAGCCGATACTGTCTGGAATAAAGTCGGAGGACAACTCTGAGGAAAAATTAACAATATTATGTTTGCAAGACAAGCCGCAAGTGCGGCATTCCAAGCAGTAGGCAAAGCCACAAGGGTGGCACCAGAACATTGCCTCTGAACATCCACATTCTTCAAAATTCTTACAGCATTGAGGACCCGCAGGGCGAGGAAACCATTGAATTTCTTCCGTGTCCTTTTTAAACTTAGTGAAAAACCTTTGGGCGGCGTCCGCATCGCGGAACAAATCCTTTGCCTGAGCGTTCATTTCACGGCGTCTTTTGGTCTTGACAACCTGTCGGCGGCCGCCCCAGGGAGATGCTGCTTGAAGATCAACTTCAGCGTCAGGATCAACTTGGCCGGATGCTGGATCGGAGCTAGCCGC